CATTTGTATTTGATAATGATACAATTGAATTGTTTTTTTAGAATTAATTAAGGATTTCATTAAATAAATAAAAACTTAAAAACTGATTTGAAAATAAATTTTCTGGCATTATTTTTCTTTAAATGAAACACCGGGTTTTGTATAAATATATAGTACTATTTAATGCACTGTTCATTAAGAATAGAGCTTAAAATGGTGTCGTTTTCAACGACACCCTGTATCTTTTTTTCCCACGCACGCGCACCGACAGGAAAATAAAGTTTTTCGTCCCTTTCTTTGCAACGTCTCTGCCTTTCTTTCTCTTCCTTTCACTTGTTCAAAAACTCTGGCATAACCTACACCCCCTCATGACTGGACAGAGATAGGTAGCTCCCATAAACGTGATAGTCGAGTAGATGAAAGAAAGTCAGCAACCTATTACATATTAAACTTGAAAACATCGTATAAATACAAAATTAACAATAGGATTAAAGTTTATTGTATTGTATCAATTACTTAGTCAATTGCATATATATTTATATATTGCCATTACCAGTAGGAAAAACGTATTGCATCAATTTAAGAAAAAAAGTTACAAAGTTTTTTTATAAACAAAATTGTTCATTTACTTGTAATTATATATATAAAAGCATAAACTATGATTTGAAATATTTGATTTGATTAAAATACCCATAAATTTAACAAACAATTAAATATATTGAAAGGAGCTTATTAGTAATTATTAAAAATATTTTTTAAAAAAAAAAACTTCTAGGTACCTAGTGTAAAAGAACTTAACTTTCCATAAAAAAAAATATTTTTTTAAAAAATACACTACTAGAATGTCAGTAGCAAAGAATTTACCAAAAAAATATTTTTATTGGTAATTTGAGGCCAAAATTATTGACAGAAAGTTCAGAATTAAAAAAAAAAACGAGTCGCTGATATGAAGGTTTTGGCGGGCTGATTTTTATCGACGAATTCAAAACAGCAACCCCGTACAGCGATGTGACCGGTTCACTATTTAAAATACCAATGGAATCACCGAGGAATTTGAAATGACAGATTCATACAGTGACATGTCGATTTTTTTGTTAGAATAACCAACAAACTCATCAACAGACTATTTCGTTTTGTGAAATCGTTAGCAAAAGTTAATATATGTCCTCTCTGTCGACCCTCTCCTCCTCTATTTCTCTTTCTTCTTCCTATTCTCAACTCTCTCATATGCAAACAACCAGCCCCCCTCCCCCAAACAAAAATCTCCCTTATCTCAGCATAACAAGTTATATTTATTGAAGTTTTGTGGTCACAGCATCTATATTCTGATTTACCGATGAATTTTATTAATTTTGTAAGTAATTCATTCTTTTAAAATTTTAACATTTAAATGTCAATTTTTTTTTAGTATATATATTTTGTTAGTAGATGTACATGTTTTATTGTTATTTCTCAAACAAACTTGTAGTATATGAATTTATAATTTTATACCTGTTATGGTTTGTTTTAAATTTTGTAAGATTGTATTTGTTTGTAAATTGTTAAAACTTTATGGAATTACTAAATTACATGTGTTGTTTTGAAATAATTAATAACTTGCTTAATGGGTTCATTTTAAGTTTTATCAATGGTATTGTGGAGTGGTTATTTTTGTAAATTTATATATATTAATTTGTATGAACATTGATAAATAATAATGAATATTTAATATTTATGAGAAGTTGTGATTGGTTTATTGGATAATCTTGAGGTAAATTAATATTTTTGCAAGTTTATTTACCTAACCTAGTTAATTAATAAATGTTGTCATCATAATTTTATAGAGGTTCAATATAAGTTATGGATGATTGTTCATGGATGTATCGAGATTCACCCTAAGGATTGCAAAGGATGGATTATTGTAACGGGGTTCAAGGTTTTATTAATTTCGCAACATCTATTCCCAGAAATTTTACTGGAGGCGGTATTAGGTGTCCATGCAGGAAGTGTCAAAATAAAAAGTATTTGCATCCAGATGTTGTAATGATACATCTTCTACACAAAAGGTTTATGAAGAATTACCAGTGTTGGTATGCATATGGAGAAGTATTTGTTAGTAAGAGGAGAATGAGAGAAACGGTGGTTGGGTCAACTTTTAGTGCTAGCAACGTGCATGAAGCGGTAAATGACAACACTAATCCTTACATAAATATAGTTATGGATGCAATGAGAATGAATCAAGGTAATGTCAGTCAATGTTCAATCATAAAAGAAGAACCTGATACAGATACAACTAGGTTTTTTGATTTGTTGAAAGATTCTGATGAACTATTATAGGATGACTATACAAACCGTAGTAAATTATCGATCGTAGCATAGGTGTTCACCATCAAGTCAGATCACGAGTTGAGTGAGGCCGGGTATGACAAAATTATTGAATGGGCGAGAAGCATTTTACTTGAAAGGAACAGGCTGAAAAAGAACTTTTACGTTGCAAAGTCCATGATAAAACTCCTTGGTTTAGGATACCAAAAAATTGACATGTGCCTTAACTTTTACATATTATACTACCTTGAAAATGTTGAGATAACCGAGTGCATGACACATGAGCATTCTCATTACAAACCCAAAACTAGTAGGGGAAAGACTCTAGTAGCATATAAAAATCTTAGATACTTCCCGATTATACCTAGATTGCAGAGGTTATTCATATCATCAAGGACTGTTAAGCACATGACATGGCACCAAGCACATAATGCAGTTGATGGTGTGATAAGTGTCCAAGATGAGAACAAAGACATAAGTTTGTAAGATGAAGTCTTTCAAGTTAGTGAGTTGGTTGAACCATATTGAGTTGCTCCTTTTAGGGTGATCATTTTCGGTTTAGTTCGGTTTTTATAAAAAAAAATAACCAAACCGAAAAAAATTTTTTGAAAAAAAAACCGAAACCGAACCAAAACCGGGTCAAACCAATCGGTTTCAGTTCGATTCGATTCATTTTTTAGGGAAAAAACCGGTTCAAACCGATTTGGCTCGGTTTTTTTGGTTTGGCTTGGTTTTCTCGGTTTTGTTCAGTTTGGCTCAGTTTTGGCTCGGGTTTTTTCCGGTTCGGTTTAGTTTTTTTGGTTTTTTGGTTATAAAACCAAACCGGCCGGTTTTTTCAAAATTTTAATCGGTTTAATAAGTTTTTTTTTCAGTTTGGTTTTTTCAGTTATTTGTTTTTCCGGTTTTCTCGGTTTAATTGGTTTCTTGGTTTTTTTGCTCACCCCTAGCTCCTTCAATTGAATTGGAAGAAAATTTAAATTTTCATGTTTTCGATGATAGTCTTGTTGATATTGATGCTGAGGAGTTGAATGTTATTTTGAGTTCTAGTAGACAAACAAATGTCAATGAGGAAGATGATATCCATATTGAAGATTACGATGATGGTGATGATTATTCAATTAATGACAAAGAAAAAGAAAATTCTGACTATCTATCAAAATGAAGCCCTGTGTAAAACTATTTTTTTCATGTAATTTAGATTATGTATTACATATTTTGTAACACAAAATATTTATTATTTAAGCACTGTTGTTATTGTTTAATGCAATGGACAATTTATCATTTAAGTTTTTTGAGGAAGGTAAATAGGCAATATAAATACAAACTTTCTTGTACAATGCAACAATTATCAAGTCTATACTGATGGATACACGTCTGTCGGCCTTTCACAGAGAGTTCAAAAATAATTACATGAAATGCCACAATCACCGACGTTAACATTGATGGATTTAAATCTGTCGGCATTTCATAAAGAGTTCAAAAATAATTACTTGAAATGCCACAATCACCAACACCGATACTGATGAATTAACATTTGTCGGTATTTTAAAGAGAATTTAAAAATAATCACATGAAATGCCACAATCATCGACACTGATACCAACGAATTAACATATGTCGGCATTTCACAGAATTCAAAAATAATTACTTGAAATGCCACAATAACTGACTTTATTACCGATGGATTGTGGTCTATCGGTAAGTTGTTGGCAGGTCAATATTACCGACAAAAATACTAATGGACTGTGTGAATTCTCAAGGGTGGTGCATTAAATGCATCTCTGACCACATTAGCTTGTCAATGGTATTACCGATAGACTTTGAAAAAACTAGAGGGTAATTAAAACTTTTGTGCGAAATTCAAAAATTATCGATAGATTTTTTACACTTCACCAATGGAATAAATTAAATAATAATATTTTTTTATTTCCTTCAGTGAATCCGTTGATAAAACTGCCCTATAAGTTCTAGCGACCGCCTCTTCAGTTCATTTTTTCTTCTCCTTTGTTTTTCACCTTAAATTTTGATTTTTTTCCTCTCAATTCTTCAAAGCTTTCACCTAGAATTTCTAGCAAGGTTTCTTGTGAATCTTCATCAGATTAGAAGGTATGTGTTTCTTCTATTTCATTTTATTTTAAGGGTTTTTTTAGCTATTTTTATTTTTTTTATGTTTTTATTTTTGGTGTATTTTTTGTAATGTAGATAAAGTCTTGAATTCAACACATTATTAAGGTAAGCATATTTCATTCTTAAAGTTTATAGTTTTTTTTAATTTATTGAATATATTTTATTGTTGTATTGACATAATTATTGAATAATTTGTTGAATTGTTATTATTAATGTTGAATTTACCTTAGAATTAGTAATTGAATATGTTGGAATAATTATTAATTTTACTCTATTATTGCATGATTTATGTTTAATGTTTTCCATTTATTTTGATTGTTAGTCTAGAGTTTTTTTTTTTTGAATTTATTGTTTTGTTGTATTGGCATATTATTGAATAATGTTTTGAATTGTAATTGTTAACGTTGAATTTACCTTAGTATTAGTAATTGAATATTTTGGAATAATTATTAATTTTACTCCATTATTGCATGATTGATGTTTACTTTTTTCCATTTATTTTCATTGTTAGTCTAGAATTTTTTTAATTTAACTCTCACAGACTTCTTCTGAATGATCAATGTGGGGCATACATTTGACCATCTTCTTACTTGTTAGCATCTTCAGACTTGCGAAATTCAGATGTCCAAGCCTCAGGTGCCAAAGTCATTCTTCACTATTGGTGATGATATTCAAACATTTTGCTGCATCATATTGGATGTTTAAAAGAAATATCCTATTCTTGGATATTTTCACATGGGCAATTAATCTCCCATTGTAGTCTGTAATTGTCAGATGACAATTCTTCATGTAAAGTGTATAGCCTCTCTCCAAAAGTTGACCTATGCTCACCAAGTTCTGCTTTATGGTTGGGACATAGTAGACATCGACGATGTAGCTATGATCGTCATTCTTCAACTTGATTGGGATGTTTTCTTTACCTTTAAATGAAACTTTTGACGTATCTCCAAAGGTGACAAAACCTTGTATGGTCTCATCTAGATCACCAAATAAATCTCATTGACCACATATGTGATTGCTGGCTCCAGAATCAAGATATCAAATATTCTCTTGATTCTTGTCAAGTCCTTATTGGACAAATAATACAACTGTTCCTCTACTGTTGACATCCTCTTCTGCATAGTTGACTCGCTCACTTATCTCCAGTGGAGCTTTCTTTTGACATTTAGTGCTATAGTGGCCAAATTAATTACAATTATAACACTGAATATTTCTCTTGTCACGGTTATTGTAACCACCTCCTCTTCCTCTAGGAGTGAATGCTTGTTGTCCTCGACCTTCTCTAGTGGTGTTTCTAACACCTCTTCCTCTAAAACCTGTATTCCAAGAACCTCTATCTTAAAATCGTTGAAATCCTCCTTGTGTTTATTGACTTCTTCCTTGAGTGGTGTATCCACTTGTTGAAGTCTCCCCTTGCTCATATTTGTTTTTGAGAGACAACTTTGCTTGTAAGTCATGCTTAATTGCCTTATCTCCATTTCTTTTTACAACCTTCTGCTCATGAGCTTGCAAAGAACTCATAAGTTCATCCACTGTTAACTTGTCCACTTCTTTGGACTCTTCAATAGCGACAACAACAAAATAAAATTTTGGATCTAGGGATCTTAAAATTTTTTTAGTAATTCGAGCATTTGAAAGGGCTTCTCCATTTCTTCTCATCTGATTAACTATCACCATAATTCTTGTGTGATAATCAGAAATAGATTCTAAGGACTTCATTTGTAACAATTCAAACTCACCTTGCAAAGATTGAAGACGAATCTTCTTTATTCTATCAGCACCTTTGTATTTTTGTTGGAGAGCCTCCTATATTTCTTTTGATGTTTCTGCGGAAGCAATGATTTCAAATGTCGCTTCATCAAGACCTTGATAAATGATGGTCTTTGCTTTGTTGTCTTTCTTTCTATTAGTTTTGAGGACTTGCTTCTGTACCTCTAGTAAAGCATCCTCTGATTCTTTGGACTCTGGTTCATCATAACCATATTGCACAATGTCTATACACTCTTGTGAACCAAGGAATGCCTACAATCTGATGCACCAACTATCATAGTTGTCTTTGGTTAGCTTCAGGGTGAGTATTTGTGCATTTTCTATAGTCATTTTGCTCTTCAAATGACTATATTACCTTTTAGGAGTTGAATTTGGAAAAACTGACACCGTAGATGGATCCGGAATGGTCCAAATAATAGGGAACCGGTTTGACTTTGTAGAAAATGGGTCAAAAATAAGGGAACCGGTCCAAAAACAATTCGAGTGGTTTGTTGGGTTGAACCGGGAATATTCCAAGGAATATTCTTTTTGGCTTGGCTTCAGAATATGGCTTGGAGCTTGGCTTGGCTTTAGAATATGGCTTGGAGCTCGGCTCGGCTTTGAAATATGGCTTGTGGCTTGGCTCGCAGCTCGACTTGAGGTTTGGCTCAGCGTAGCTCAAATATGGCGCGCGTGTGGCTCAGTCGACTTCTTTCTCGGGGCGCGTGGGCTACAGTACTGAAACTTCAGATGGAGAGTGTGGGCCACCCCGTGCGCCGATTAATCTGCTTTTTACACCATTGAGTTCGTATTGATGAGCTCTACACTTTGAAATGATTTCTAAACATTCCTACAAGTAGGGATTAGTTACTACATTATAGGTTGTCTTCCTATAAATTAGGTATTACAATAGAAAAATGGATGTATACATATAGATCCTTGTATGAAAGATGTGAATTTCCTAACACCTTCTGCTGTAGTTTCTCTAGGCTAGTTTCGTCATATTGGGGATAGAGCAGTGGCAGTTGAAATATTTAGAAGATGTCCTGAATTGATTATTGTTCAAAAAAATATTAAAAAAATTAAAATTAAAATTAAATTTTTTTTTTCATATTAAGTTTATAAATTTATAAATTATTTTTTAAAGTATATTAATTATTTATACTCAAGAAAAAAAAAGAATCTTTAAAATATTTTACTAAAACCATACCATCAAATGAAGTTTCCTGACAGATAAAAATGTGATTCACAAGTTAAGTTGGTTCATCATGCCAGCATTTATGCATTGATTAACGACCAATAAATACTGAACCTTTTCTCTTAATTTAATACTGGCAGCATGGCTATGATATTATAATGTTTTTTCTTTTTTTTTTAATCATAACAATGTTAAAATTACTAGAATTCATTTAAAATTTAAGTAATTTTTTATATAAAATTATTTTTATTTTATATTTTTAGATGGTTGATCACCATTAATGGTCAATTTTAATGATTTGTATGCAGGAATGTTTGCAAGTCATGAAAAGATACTCATTGCGACCTCTTTTTGCTGAACCTCATGTAGCCAACTTATACTCTTCATGGAAAAGAAAAGGATCCATTGATTTGGATTTCAAGCAAGATCGATGATTGATCAACTCTTCCATGAGACAGCAGAGGTCACATTTAAATCTAAACTTGAGGTGGTGAATTCATGCAATGGCTTGCGTTGTGTATGCTACTGTAGACTCCAAGATTTTGCGACCCAATTTAAGATTCAAATAATTTGTGGGCTAATTAATATGTTGGATTTGAACACAAGATAAATTAGAGTCTCAATTTAACTAATTATATGGTTTTACTTTAATATCTTATATTTCAACAAACCTTTATATTAATTTTCTAAAATGCCCCTTTAAATTACGGACATTTTAGATATAAATTATACATTTTAGATATAAATTATACTTGTATGACTATAGATAGTAAAAGAAAAAAAACCTACCAATATCATAAGCTCTGCATAAATAGAAAAAACTGTCCCATAACGCTAATTAAATAAAAATAATTTTTAAATATAATTTAGTAATTTTATTATATGATAAATATTTATTTGTACACTCAAGGAAAAGACTAAATTGCCCTCCATGACAATGACATCAAGAAAAAGACTAAATTACGCTTGAGCTAAATGTTTTTTTTTTTTTTTTGTGACAGCACAGAATGGTCAATTTACATTGCGAATCTAAAATAAATTGTGAGTGTATATACATTGTTTAACTTATCCCTTTTAGCTTCTTCTTTTTTAGTGCAAAATAATTTTTTAAAAATGGCATCGTTTTGTTGCGTAAAATGTGCATAGAAGGATCCAGCTGTGAAATGCTTTAAATATTAGAGACCCAATCAATCTTTTTATTGTGTGGAATATGATTGAGAAATGAACAGTTGGTTAAGGACAAAACGGTGAGGCTCTCTGTTTAATGTCTTTTGTTTTTTGGACACAACTTGATGTCTTCAAATAATTAATGATGGTTGTAATTTTTTTTCACAACACTAATTAAAAAAAAAAAGAGAGAAGAGGACAAACTATGAAAGATATAGTTGCGTGTAAAAATAAAATAAAAAAGATGTTTGAGGTAGATATCAATATTTTACATTAAAAAATAATTTATAAGAATATAGACTGTATATATTATAAATATTAAATTAAAAATTTCCTAAAAACATACCATCAAAGGAAGTTTCCTATCAGACAAAAATGCGATTCACAAGCTAAGTTGGTCCATCATGCCTGCATTTATGCGTTGATTGAACCACCAATAAATACTTAACATTTTGTCTTAATTTAATACTGGTAGACATGGTATTGATCGTAGTTTTCAGATCAACTTAGGATCCGGGGCTTGGCCTCATTTGAGATTACAGCCAATTTTAAAATTTAAATATTTTTTAATATAATTTTAATGTATTGATATCAAAAGTAACTTTTAAAAAATAAAAAATATATAATTTTGTTATATTTCACAATAAAAAATATTTTAAAAAACAATCACTATTGCACTAACAAATATTATTTTAATTCTACATCATTTGGTTGCTAGTCGACTAATAAGTCATCAAGTCATCTCGGATCAATTTTAAAATATTATTTTGGATAAAATAAAATGAAATAATATCGTTTAATTTGAACGATATTTAAAAGAAGTTTTCTTAGATTGAAAGACAAGAAAAGGTGAGAAAGAGCGTTGAAATTTATAAGATTGAAAGACTTAGAACATTAAATTAAGAAAGAATTAAGTGAAAAAAGCTATCAGAAAGGTGAGGAGACTAGTCACACTAAGAGGAGAAGAAAAGTTAGGAGAACTTAGATTGGTAAGCATGAAAAATTTAGATTCTTACTTGAATGAAATGTTTTTGGATTTATTTGAGTAAGTTATCAAACAATGACAATTAAATTTACTTTAATTTCTTATATTCTTGATTTTTGTTAAATTAGAATTCTTATGAGAATTTTGGGGTTTTGAAAAAAGTAGTGAACACAATGAAATTGAGGTAAAATAGTATAAAAATAGTGAATGTAAGTACTAATTAAGAAATAAATTGAATAATTTTGAAGAAAAGAACTTGTAATTAAGGATGAAGAAATATAGGAATGAGGCTTTAATTGTTTTATGTTTGAGAAATGATGTTCTTTATCTTATTTGAAGTATTCAAAATATGAACAAGTGAAGAAACATCATAAGAATATGAAAAGAAGGAATAAATAAATGGTGGAATAGTTCATGGGAGAATTCTTTAAGTGAAGTAAAAGAAGAAAATTGATGAAAAATGTTGAAAATGAGGTGATAAATAAATGAAAATTTTATTGTAAACCCTAATTAAATAAAAAATAATGTGTGCTTCAAATTTAGGCACACA